CTTCCTTCCTTCCTTCCTTTCTTCCTCCAATCCTTTCTTTCTCTTTTTCCATACATTTCCACTCAATGACAACATACACCCTTCATTCAATTATTTATTTATCGAAATCTACTTACCGCTTCTCTTGCGATAAAAAGCCGTTGTCACAGCCAGGCAGCACAACAAAACAGCAAATGTAACCCAAGCATTCATCTTTTATAACAAGTATATCTTTAAGCGATATCAGCAAATCTAATAAATAATACATGGAGGGAAGAAAACCAGTGAACCCGAAAAAAACTCTCGAAATAATAGAAAGACTAAAAAAAAACTTTAGATATATAAATACATTACATAATAATAATACAACTTSCAATTTTGTCGATACCCTGAAACAACCTCTGGGCTGATCTAAGTCAGGGCACGGTTAACTCACAGATTGAACCACGAAACAACGCATGGGCTGATTAATGTCAGGTCAWGGCTAACTCACAGATCAAAGCCTGAAACAACCTCTGGGCTGATCTAAGTCAGGGCATGGCTAACTCACAGATTGAGCCCTGAAACAACCTCTGGCCTAATCTATGTAAGGGTACAGCTACATGTAACTCACAGATGAAACCCTGAAACAACCTCTGCGCTGATCTAAGTCAGGGCACGATTAATTTAAGGATCAAATTGGACTTTTGCGAAGGAAGGCAAATCGGATAACTCGGAGAAAACCCCCTGATTCGACTGTCACTAACCTATAGATAAATATCACTAAAKAAAGACTACTTGCATGTGAATCAGTCCCGCCGATAGACCAGATGTGAGAGGCAAGTACTGCCTACTGTTACATTAACGCTGTAATCATTGAAAGCAAGGAAAACATAACATGCTTTTCTGGTACATACCTTTGTAACGCGATTAATCTTGAAAGGCTTCCTCTAGTGGTTGTGCTTGCAACGGAATCCCTCTATATTTAAAGGAATTCCAAACGCCAATCAAACTAAAACCGACCAATCAGAAGAAGCGATAAATTGGCTTGCAAATGAAAATAGAAAGTGAAAAAAAAATTTGAAGCTAAAAAAAATATAATTACTTGTTCAAAGACTTGCTCAAGTCATTAAGTTATTAAGAAACTGTTTCATTTTATCTAATGAAGAAGATTAAAAATTGATGCCTGATCGATGGCGAAAGAGTCGACTTTGAGCCTTGAGATGGAAAAAGCATTTTTCATTTACGAACACATTAACGTACTCAGTGACCTATGCTTGAAATTACCCAAAAAAAATTTAAGGTTTTTTTAAAAGCGTTATCATTCCAATCGATAATGAAAAATTAAAGACATGATTTTCTGTGGTCAAAACAAATAGATAAAACATTATATTTTTATATGCAAGATCCATGTCTTCAACAGTACAATTGAAGCATGACAGATGTGATCTATTATTTCACTCTAACGATCAGTTGACTACTGATTGCAGAGAAAGTTTTCTTACTGTTAAATAACCTGCATATTTCCTTAAGGCTCGAATATGTTTTAAGATTCTAGACAAGCAGTCGTTACTTCTTGGGCCATTTCCTGTGAACGGCGTCATGTAACRTGTCTTTAATAAGAAGGATTGTCTATTATTATTTTTTCTTTTTCTTTAACCCAATTTAATCTCGGAGATCGAATCCCA